TCCCCCCCCCCCCCCCCCCCGGTGTTTGCCATCGGGGTTGGGTTTTCGTCGCTTGGCAACGACGTTGTAAAACAAGCCCCCCCCTCGGTGTTTACTCGATCCTCGACTACATCCTGGTAGATAGGGGGAGCACACAGGTCCCGGAGCTGCACGTAAGTGCGATAGATATAGGCTCGACCGACCATTTCCTCATATGGGCAAACATCGACCGATCTAGAAAGACGGAGAGTAAGAAAAAGAGGAACGTGTTCCGGTGGAAAGTAGAGCGTTTGGGAGACGAGGGGACACGCGATGAATTCCAGAAGGGATTGGCTGGTAATGTAGAACCCTTCAGGAAACTGCTGAGAAGCGTCGAAGACGGAAAGGTAGACGTACAGGCAGCAGGGGACAGGGTGATTGAAGGATGGGAGTCCATAGTGAACACAACGGCAGAGAGAGTAGTGGGAAAAAAGGTGGTACGATGTGGGGTATCGGTTAAGTGGTGGGATGACGAGCTGAAAGAAGAAATAGGGGAACGTAGAGAAGTCTTCAAGCAGTACCTGGGTGAGGGGTCTGAAGAGAGTTGGGAAAAGTACAGGGCCAAGAGGAAACAGGTGAAGGGACTAGTGAAAAAGAAGAAAAAGAGCATTTGGGACGAGGTAGTGCAGAAGGCCAACGGAGGCCTGGAGGGGAACGTCAAGCAGATGTGGGAAGGGATTAGTGGGATGGTAAAAAAGACCGCGCAAGGGGGGGATACAGGGGTAGCAACATTGCGAGGTGTGAACGGTGGACTAGTCAGCAGTGGGAAGGGAAAAAGGGAAGTTCTAGCAGGACACTACAAGCGACTTGGAGTGCCTTCGGAGAATGAAGATTTTGACCAAGTGTTTAAGGAGGAGGTGGACGCATGGGCCCAGAAAGAAGAAGAGACATCGAAGGCAGACGTTGGGAACGTAGAACTAGAAAAGGAGTTCACTGAGGACGAGGTTGAGGCGTGTGTGAACAAGCTGCAGTGCCACAAAGCAGCAGGGGCGGATGGGATAGTCAACAAGTTCATGAAGTTTGGGGGGAAGGGGATGATCCAGCTGATGGTACTGCTATACAACTGGGTGTGGAAAAACGAGTATGCGCCAAGTAGATGGAGGGAAGGAGTGGTTGTGAACTTGTTTAAGAAAGGAGACAAGACTGACCCAGGAAACTACAGGGGTATCACACTGTTGAACACAGTAGGAAAAGTGTTTTGTAAGCTGCTGAACGATAGGATAGTGGGAGTATTGGAGAAGAAACGTAGCATTAGTGAGGGCCAGGCAGGTTTCCGACAGAAGAGGGGGTGCGTAGACCACGCATTCACGGTAGGGAGAATCATCCAAGGTAGAAAGAGGGCGGGCAAGCGGACGTACTGCTTCTTCCTGGACGTGAAAAAGGCATACGATACCGTATGGAGAAATGGGCTGTGGAAACAATTGTTCAAGTACGGGATCAAGGGGAAAATGTGGAGGGTGCTGAAGAAGATGACAGAGTGTACGAAAAGCGCGGTCATGCTAGACGGAGAACTGTCTAAATTCTTCGACATCGAGCAGGGGGTCCCACAAGGTTGCACGCTGTCCCCAACATTGTTCCAGGTGTTCATCAACGATCTGTTGGAAGTCGTAGAGGCAGTCCGGAAGGGAGTAAAAGTAGGGGACACGGAAACTTCGGTGTCAGGAATGCTGTTTGCGGATGACTTTGTTGGTATGTCGGACACCCCTGAGGGACTGCAACTGCAAATTGACGCGGCGAAGAAGTTTACTGATAAGTGGAGATTGTCTGCCAACGTTACGAAGAGTGCCGTCATGGTATGCAACGAGGGCAGGGAGGAACCAGTAGAACATAGATGGAAGTGGGGGATCGAGGAGATTGCAGTAGTGGACCAGTACACATACCTCGGAGTAGAGATCGCAAAAGATTGCTCGTGGAATGCACACATGTCCAAGGTAGCGGAAAAGGGCAAAGCACGAGCAGGGAAGCTGCACCCAATACTCGCAAACCGGCACCTTGATACACGCATCAAATTGACGGTTTTGAAGAGCGTAATCGTACCGCCGCTGGAGTACGCCGGAGAAGTATGGGAAGGAAATAAGAAGGTAGTGAAAGAACTCGAGGCGGCGCAGATGAAAGCAGCGAAAATCATCCTAGGATGCTCCAAGCGCACAAGTAATGCAGCAGTCAGGGCAGAATTGGGGATCCAATCCCTACGGTCGGGAAGAGACGTAAGGAAGCTGACATGGCAGTACCGCATGTGCGGGATGGGAGAGGAGAGGTTGCCGAGAATAGTATGGGAGGCGAAGTGGGCAAACAAAAAGAGGGGTAGACAACCCACGGAATGGGTCAAGGTTGTAGAGAACGTATGGAAGGGATTGGACATCGACGAAGATGAAACGCTGGAAACGGAGGGTCTACAGGGGTTCAAGAAGAAGATATCTGTTGCTTGTGCCGACAGAGAAGAACAGAATCTAAGGAAAGAACCCAAGGATAAGGAGGGTCTAGAAGTGTACGGAATGTTGAAAGAAGGAATAGGGTTCAAGGATTACCTACATGGAC